AATGATTATCGAAAGAATTTTTTACGCATCTTATTATTATCACGTGATACACACGTATAAAGAAAAATACGCGTCGCGCTAGTATAATAACTTGTTGTACCTTGCAATAGTAAAGGATGACAACTGATTACAAGCCGTCATCAAACATAAGAAAAAAGCTTCATTCCTACTTCCTCATTGACGATACGTTCTCCACCTGGCGCGAATGGAGCCTAACATCCTTCTTGGAATCCGAGAAAATGAGAGGAGCCTTGGCGGTTTGTAGCAGGAGGGCGTTGCATCAGCAGTTTTCGGACTCTCTGAATGTCATTCTAGAGTCAGATGCGCCAAGCGAGGTAAAAAAAAGAGTCAAGGATCTCAAGAAAGAGGTAAATAGCGAAGAACTTCGAGTATTCGCTGGTCTGCCACCAGAATGGGATCTCAAGATGTTTTATTAGATGTATTCGCCGGCTGTGCAACGGTTCTGGGAACAAATTCAAGTCGAAGAGGAGCTTACATTTGCCGAAACAAAATACAAAGGCAAAAAAGCTCTCATCAGCCTGAAAAAGGATTTCGAAAAGGTACATACAACTTTAACTAGTCGTCAGTGATACCCAATATACTAACTTCGGGACGCATATTCCAGGACGTGCTAAACGATCTTGAAAAGATAGTAGAGGAGGAGGTTACTGTAAGTGTTATTAATATGTAGTTAGGTGTAGAAAGTGGCTAATATCTTATTCTTGAATATTTAGAAATCGCGATCTGTGCTTGAACAACCTCTAAAAAGACCTGCCGCCGATTTTGATTATGATAGCTCCCATCATGCTGTGGACGGTCTCGATGCCGTAAAGACGCCTGTATGCAAATAGATTTGCCAAAATTTATAAGCGTAAATACTGATTATAACTTTCAAATCCCCAAAAGGATTCTTGTGAAAAAAATCAGGCTGGGAAGAAGAGGAAGATGGCATACGATTCTGACGACGTATTTGAAGTTGCACTGTCCGACGACGCGCTGTCAACCGAAGAACCAAATAATGCCGCAGAACATCTGTTAATAATAAATGGGACAGATATTCAGTCGAAAATGGAATTGTGGCGCAAGACGTCAGCACACATTCCCGAAATACACAGGCAGGAGTATGTTCTAGTTGACTTGCTCTTTGTTGCATGAATTTACATGGTGCTATTTAGCTTGTTAAGATACAACATACTCGACACTATTGACTCTTCATCAACAGAAGCACGAACGCTCTTTTAAGAGTACTGGAATGAAATAGTCAGTAAGATTGAAATGATATTTCCAAATGAATTTAGAGATGCAAGTATGAAGGCACAAGCAGCGGATCTAAAAGAATATGCAAAAGTTTGCCTACGGGGTGTGGTGAGTTATGTTTTGTAAAGATTAACTTAGACTTGCTAATATCTAATAATATTTCCAACAGAACACACCTCAACGATTGAAAGAGGCAATCAAGCGAGCAAAGGAGGAACGCCAGAGCGAAGTTGAGAGCGGACAATGCATTAAATGGAAGAATCTGACATTGAAGCTCATGAAAATCTTGTAAATATCTGTTTCATTTTCATATGAAATATCAAACGTCATTAATACCATGTTTTATATAAGCCAAAAACAGTTTCAAAATGGAAGAAATTGTTTCAAAGAACAGCAGACAGAGTACAACTACATAATTAAATTTGTGTCACATGTATTTTCTGCCCTGCTTGATGATCTTGTTGACCTTGGCTGTATGTGGCAAGTATCAATGCAATGAGAGATGTTTGCAGAGTCTTTGATATTGATTGACATTTGATATTTCCATAGGGGCGAAAAGACACTGAAGGCCTCTGCAATCGTAATAAACCGTTCACAAAAAGATCACTGTCGCCGTGTGGGAGGCAGCAAGATAGATGCTATAATCAAATTAGCAGAAATTAATTTAGAATTTGTGTTAATTGAAGTATCCGGAACACCATGTGATCTAGATCACACACATTATGTGGGAGATCGCAAAAAAATTGCCAAGAACTTAAAAATAATTCTCAATTTCATTCGGACAACCTATCCAGGAAGTTTTGAAGCATTCAGGAGAATCAAGGTCTTTGGCATACAAATCTATGGTGAGTTTTGCAAGTGTGACTTTTATTTTTGTTGATACTCACAATTTCTATACTTTATCACTTGTAGACAATAAGTTTTACATATATAGTATGTCAATGCCATTTGCAAGGATTTACTATTTCAAGCTAGAAATGGAATTTGAGTGTCCAGCCATTTCTTTTACATTATTCAAAGCTTTACCAAAGTTCATCTCAGATTTATGGGAAGTGCAAGTAAGTGTTAATACATGAGTGAGTGTTAAATATACAGTGCTGGCATACATATATCCATGACACAAATTATAACATTAGGATGCCATCCTTTCAAGCATTGAGACCATCACTGTTTATATGGCAAGTACTGCTGACTCAGATGACAATGACGATCAGGTGGATCCTGTGACAAAGTCACCATCAAAAAAGCGAACTAGGAAGAAGTAATCTTAGTAGGAATAATCTTAGTAGAACAACTTTTTTTTCCTAGCCTACAATAAAAGCGAAGTTGAATGTGCCAATTTCAGGTGATGAAAGGACCTGCATGTTAAATCAGCTTTCAATGTGAAAGCCAATTGTCGGATGAAAGTACCTTTCAATTGTCACAACAGTGCTGCTTGTGTATCAGTGTGCGATATTATTATTTTCGAGCGTCGTCGCCAGTGCTCGTGCCCAAATCCTACGGACAGCGTATGATTAAGCAAGAATTATAATACCAACTTTACAGAGACGTGCATAATGAAAGGTACCTTGTAGTATTTGATATTCTAGCCTTTTCCACCGTTGTTGGCCGCTTTCCGTGTTTCATATTCTGGTATAGTGTAGAAGCTGATTTCCGCAATGTAAGAATGTGGTCGAATCACGTGATTACTTCTACATTTGGGAACGCATATATACCTTTACAATTGGCGTTATGAACTCGAATAGAAAGCCAGATAACTTCAACAGAGACGGGTAATAATGTTCCAAGAAATTTATTAGGAGCCCTTTAATGTGTGAACTATCATGATCCTAATTGGTCTCGCGCGATACGAATTCTGCATTGATACATTCTCATACTCTTGCGGTCAAACGGTAATACCTGATCGGTCATGACCATGAGACTTCCGTATCGTAAGCTCTCGGTGCCCTTATATTCCTTCCGATGTTGCAGTCCCAATATTTGCTTAATGTTGTTTATTTCTTGATTCTCAGATACTTGCTTCAGATTGGCTTCCCTCACGTTCAACAGCTTTCCTCTCAAGGAAATACCCCGAAATGATCTCTTCCAACAATTGACAACCCGCTGACAGCCAATGCCTTTGCAGAATCTCCTTCCGTTAGAATCAATGTACACCTTGACCCATTTCGAGTACCAGCCTGGTTAGCATCACAAGCTTCGCAATTCCGCTAATGCGGGAAGTTTATGACCGTCTGTTTTTCGAAGCTGCTGTTCTTGTTTGACTTTCATGAGTTTAGCAATATTGTCGATTATATTTGTTTTAAGCACTAGAAAAAATGTAAACAATACTTTTATGAGTCTCTGGTAAGTCTTATCCGTAATGTTCCAGTCATAAATTTGAGTCGATAAAATCTCACTTTTTTTTACAAAAGCGTCGCTTAACACAGCAGTACTTCCAAACGCACTCCGTTGTAAAGTCAAGGTGTCTTTCGTTTGGGAATCGAAGGCCAGATTCTCTATCAGACAGTTTAAAAAGATCCAGAGGTGATTTTTAATTTGAGAGGGTTTTGGTGGGGTTATTTGTTTGAACTTTTTCTTTATTGTCTCGGTAATCTCGCGAACAAGTTGATCTGCAATGTAGTTAACGTGCGTTCCACCCTTCATTGTGCAGATACTGTTGACAAAGCTGACCTTGAGGCCGCAAGGGGGTATACGGAAATATGTTGTCAATTGGCTAATGGTATTCAAAAAGGCCAAATATTTCAATTCAATTCCTAGGCTCACCTGTTGGGCCCATCACTGACGCAAACACCAACTTCCCATCGATCGTTAATATTTTCGTAATAAGAGTCGGCTTTGTCCCTTCATCTTCCTTAAGGTATAGCTCGCAATACTGCTTAAAATTCTTCACTTTTATTCTCTCGCCATCAAAAACACCTTTATATTTTTTACACTTCCGGCTAGATCATAGACGAGTTTAACAAGAAGCGCCTCGGTGTCTTTATCGATCGTGGTCATGCCAAATTTTCCAAGGTCGGGTTTGAATGTGATGCGAGTAAAATCTTCCTTTTTGCTGGCTGTCGTAAGTTTAGGTTGACTCATTTGTCCCATAATGTCTATCGCAAATAAAAATCCGTACATTAAGTTTGTGTTGTCAGCAGCAGTATATACTGTATAATAATAGCAAGAATAGATCGATCACCTGAGCGAATGCTTTCCCTGATTGTCTATATGTTTCAACAGTGAACTCGGTACTAAATATGTTACATAGTTTAGCTCCGTATCCATTCCGTCCTCCAGTGACTTTTTTCTCATCGTCGTCGTAATTAGACGAGGTGAGCAAGTGTCCGAATATTAGCTCTGGCACGTAGACATTTTCTTTCTTATGAACTTCCACTGGAATCCCCTGCCCGTTATTATGTATGGAAATGGTGTTATCGGCTGCATCTATTGTTACTTTAATGGTATCCATCGACGGATCGCGAATCTTGCAAATCGAATAATCACATTAGGGTTAATAAATTTGTATACAAAGGGGAGAATATGGCAATGGCTGGCCTAGATTTGAAAATTTCAGAAGGACCTTATTATCAGCCGCATTTACGAGGATTTCATCGAATATTTTGTACAATCCAGGGACAAAAGTCACTAGACGATGGGTCATTGCTTCCTTGTTCTTGTCAAACACCCATCGTGCGTCATTTACCACTTGTACCGAACCAATGTATGTATCTGGACGTTTTACAATATGCTCGATTTGGGTGACTTTCTGATATGTTTCTGTGCAAACCAGAGTAGAAATTAATTGTTAGGGGGTCGCTTGTGGCGCTTTTTTGTGAGAATAAGCAAGGCCGTCGCCTCAATATATTCGAGAGGCGTGCTAATGATATGTCGACGTTAGGGCTGGACTGACATGAACGTTACGCATTGCTCACCTTCAGTCTTTTTCACTCTTGGTGCCAACGGTGCAGTTACCATTATTAACGATGTGTTACAGTCTAAGGAATATCTTGCGAAAGGGAAAGAGGATTATCGTTATGCAGGGGGAAAAATTGTTTGTGTAGCGTAAAAAGTGAACACGCGACAGTCGAACCCCGTTATACCGAAGGCACGGGGGAGTCATATATGATTCGTTATAACGAGGAATTCGGTAAAACAAA